GGAATGGGGATTTTGCAGTATCTTTCCCCAGGAGGGGGGTGAGAATGGGGATTTTGCAGTAACCTTCCCCTGGAGTCGGGAGGGAATGGGGATTTTGCAGTATCTTTCCCCAGGAGGGGGGTGAGAATGGGGATTTTGCAGTAACCTTCCCCTGGAGTCGGGAGGGAATGGGGATTTTGCAGTATCTTTCCCCAGGAGGGGGGTGAGAATGGGGATTTTGCAGTAACCTTCCCCTGGAGTCGGGAGGGAATGGGGATTTTGCAGTATCTTTTCAGGAAGGGGGTGAGAATGGGGATTTTGCAGTAACCTTCCCCTGGAGTCGGGAGGGAATGGGGATTTTGCAGTATCTTTCCTCAGGAAGGGGGTGAGAATGGGGATTTTGCAGTAACCTTCCCCTGGAGTCGGGAGGGAATGGGGATTTTGCAGTATCTTTCCCCAGGAGGGGGGGTGAGAATGGGGATTTTGTAGTAACCTTCCCCTGGAGTGTGGAATCACACCATGTTGTTGTGGAACTTCCTTGAGTTTATAGCCATTGCAAGAGACCAAAACTGAGCCTGCATTCAGAAAGGCTCTCTCTCTCTTTTTTTTTATAATTCTGATTTCTCATGACTGTTTTGTACCCAGGTTTTGCATTGACAATGGTGCCATGATCGCACAAGCTGGTTGGGAAATGTTTCAGTCCGGCCAAATCACAGCACTTGAAGATTCGTGGATTACGCAAAGGTGATTGTCCTTGTTTGCAATACAGGGGGTAGAAAGAATTGTGAAGGTGAAATGGAACACATAAGTACCGAGGCATTTAATTAATTTAGTTCCTTGTGAAATCAGAAACCTTTGAAGCCGTGGCTTTATTTGGTCTTTGTAACTACACCTTTTTAAAACTTCCTGCAATTGTGCACCTCTAAATATAGATAGTCCTTGAGTTACAGCCTCAATTGAACTGACAATTTATGTTATTGAGAAATTTGTTCAGCAAGTTTTGTCCCATTTTACCAACTTTTCTTGCCACATCTCTTAAATGAATCACTGCAATTGTTGAATTAGTAACATGGTTGTTAAGTGAATCCAGTTTCCCCATTGACTTTGCTTCGTCAGAGGTCACAAAACAGGATCACGTGACCCAGGGACTTTGCAACCGTTATAAATATGAACCAGCTGTCAAGTATCTGAATGTAAATCATGTAACCATAGGGATGCTGCAATGGTCATAAGTGTGAAAAATGGTTGTTGTTTTTTCCAGTGCTATAACTTTGAACAGTTACTAAATGAACTGTTACAAGTCAAGAACTATCTGTACATAACCAGAAAATGCACTGACTCTAATTAAACAAACAGCTCCCTACATTTAACATTTAATTAACAACCACCTGAGCGACGTGGTGGCTCAGTGGCTAAGACGCTGAGTTTGTCAATCAGAAAGGTCAGCAGTTCAGTGGTTCAAATCCCTAGCGCCGCGTAACAGAGTGAGCTTCTGCCAACCTAGCAGTTCGAAAGCATGTAAAAATGCAAGTAGAAAATATAGGAACCACCTTTGGTGGGAAGGTAACAGCGTTCCGTGCGCCTTCGGCGTTTAAGTCATGCCAGCCACATGACCATGGAGACGTCTTCGAATAGCTCTGGCTCCTCGGCTTTGAAACGGAGATGAGCAACGCCCCCTAGTGTTGGTAATGACTAGCACATATGTGTGAGGGGAACCTTTACCTTTACCTCACAGCCTGATTATGGGTGCAGCTTTGTACCACTTCCCATCCCCTCAATTTTGAAAGACCTGTTAAAGCTACATTTGATATGTGTTTACTCTGAGGTAAAATTCCATCCTCAGAGGAATGGATGCCCTCATCAAACGTTTGTTGTGCTGTTTCATCCTTTCCAGGTATCGTACAGATGAAGTGGAGGTAACGTGGCGAGACTAAGGATTTCTCTTTGCCTAAAAATCTTTCCCAGTTTGGAAGCCATGAAGTGAATTCAGCTGGAAGGCTCAGTAGATATGCATTTAAACACACACACAAACACTTGCCTTTTTGGCCTAAAATAAATGATTTGATTTTGTAGAAAGGGTGTCTGTGCTGGGTCTTTAGGGATGAAAAGTGGGCTTTTGAGAGAAAAACAAAGGGGCCCTTTTGAGCAACGCAGCACATGCAGGAGCTGAGCTAGTTTTGCTTGTGGGTCTTCATAATCTACTGATTTCAATTTTTTTTTCCTGCGAAAACCACCTTGTCTTCTTTTTGCTCGTCTGTGTGGACAGAACCTTCCATCTCAGCCATAATTGTGTGGGTCATGGGCTCAACTGACTGCTGACACTGAAATATTTGGGTTTCTTTTAGTTCACCGGGGAGCAAAGGGTTAAGAGGCAAAGTGGGTGTCCCTTTTTAGCATGATTTCAATCGGTTTTAAGGGGTGCAGTGGATGCCAAAGCAGCTGAAAAGCTCCGTCTCTAGGGCCCCTCAAAATGATCTGAAACTTGGACCTGTTTGGGAATCTGCAAATGAGCTACATGCTGGCCTTTAAAGTACATGTGGGCAGCCGTGACCCTTTACAAGCTGTGGACTTCAACTCCCAGAATTCCTGAGCCAGCATGGCCCACTTAGAAATGCTGGGAATTGAAGTCCATGGGTCCATGATGGCGAACCTAAGGCACATGTCCCACAGTGGTGGGTTTCAAAATATTTTAGAACCTCTTCTGTAGGTCTGGCCTGCTTTGTGGGAGTGGCTTGCCGGCCATGTGACTGGGTGGGAGTGGCTTGCCAGCTATGTGACTGGGTGGGCATGGCCAACTTGTAAAATGTGGTGAAACTCACTTGACAACGCTCTTGCTTAGCAACCAAAATGTTTGCTCAGAAACTCTGGCATTTGAAGCACGCAAGTCTTAAAGCTGTCAAGTTACAAGACCCTTGCATCCCTAACCCTTTAGAGAAAAAAACCACAGGCGTGTTCAAACTTGACAACTTTAAGACTTGTGGACTTCAACTCCCAGAATTCCTCCTCCAGTCATGTTGGCTCAGGAACTCTGGCATTGAAGTGTAAAAGTCTTAAAGCTGCCAAGTTACAAGACCCTTGCACTCTAAACCAGTGTTTTTCAACCACTGTGCCGCGGCACACTAGTGTGCCGTGACATAGTGTAAGGTGTGCCGTGGGAAAAACACTTTATATATAGTCAATATAGGCACAGAGTTAATTTTTTTAAACATTTTCTAATGGTGGTGTGCCTCATGATTTTTTTCATGAAAAAAGTGTGCCTTTGCACAAAAAAGGTTGAAAAACACTGCTCTAAACCCTTTAGGAAAAAAACCCAGAGGTGTTCAAACTTGACAGCTTTAAGACTTGTGGACTTCAGCTCCCAGAATTCCTCCTCTCACTCTTCATCTTGATGATGTCCCGATGGGCAGGGGGAGGGTGCTGGAACCAGTTCTAAATGGCACTGTAGATTTGCAGAACCTCTTCTATAGAAGAGGTTAGTACTGGCAGGAACCCACCCCTGATGTGCCAGCTGGTCATAGGGTTTCCGAGGCACACATGCGCACCAGCCATTGGCCCATTGGGTTTCTGCTACCCGGGCGCGCATGCATGCACACACACATGCCTTCCACTTTAGGCACTCTGGGCCTAAAAAGTTCCCCATCACTGCCATATGTTGTAAAGGGGCCATAACTGCCCTCCTGTCAAACCCCATCAGCTTGCCATACCTGGGGAGAAAGGGAAGCACTGGACGGCTGCCTTCTCCTTCTCTTCCAGACCTGCAGTCTGGTTTTTCCACAGCTGATTGGCACTGACAGGAGGCTCTCAGACGGCTGATGTGCACAGGGCCAATTCCCGATGGCTGCCTGGTCCCATTGTGCAATAGTTGACCGGAGCAGCTGCCAATCAGTCAGAGCAGCTGACGGGCACCAGGGAAGGCACCATGGATCGGGGAGCGGTCCGGAAGTAGCACCTGAAGCTGCCAGATGCTGTCTAAGGGGCCAGGGGCGGGGCTATGATTATATTAATGCAATATATTATACCTACTAGGTTCTTGGCCATTAAACCTATATCTGCTTGTTTGTGTTCGTGTGATTTGCAAGCTTGGTTATGCTTTTCCTTGGCTGGGTTTTGGGTGGGTAAAGCCCTCCCTATCTTAAAGGCCTTGTATTTGTCACTCGAGAGTTGCACCCTAAAGTAGAGCTTTTCTAGAAAAGGAACCCCATCAGCGGAAGTACGACGCCAAGAAGAACAAAGTAGGAGACACACCAGGGTTATTAAATAACAATATTCAAAAAAGTATCACTATTTACAGAGCATGGAGACACAACACATCCACAACACACCCAGAATCGGTCCTTTGCGTTCAAACTCAACAACAAGCAGGGATTTTTTTTAAAAAAAAATCCTCAGCAAAATCCCTTCGTTGTGCATGGATGGTCCCGGCCTCGTGGTGATGCTGACATACTCAGTGACAATGCCCATCTGCTTTCCATGGCGGGGGGGGGGGGCTTTCAGACTTTGGAGTCTTCTGCCCCCGTTCCCCCTTGTAATTAGGCTGGCATAATAGATAGCCCCTTATAGCCTATTTGCGCAAGTCTTCTTTGGGATCCTGCTACCCCCTATTGACAGTAGAAGGTGAGTGCATCCTCTTGATTGCCTCGGATGAAGACAATTGGTGGGGGTAAGTCCTTGGAGACTGTCTCAAGCCAGGCCATGTAGAGGGAGCTGGGACAGGCTCCTTTACGCACCACCGGAAGGCTTCTGGAGAATTAAGGGAAAGTAGAGAAGTTAGGGATCTGCTAGTAAGGAACTGAGAGGCCCACATTATAAAATCTATGTGTATGTTACAACTAGGATGGGCACTGTGTAAGTAGATATGACTTCCTGAAGAAAACAGAGCAGACAATTTCTGCCATTACCTGATTAACTTGACCTCCTGCATTATATCATTGTTTGAACAAGCTGTGATATAAGGCCATTTGTTCTAAAAAAGTTGTTAGCAAGCAAGTAATAATCTCGCGACAAAAATGGTAACTTAGAAAGGATCCTTTCATGTTCTAAGGTTGGACACAGCATCTTCTAAGTATCCGCATTTGTATGGCTCATCGTTGGATCATTGCACAACAACACAATACGTGGCAATACTTTATCCCCGCTCAGAGGAAAAGCCACTAATTCAGACCATTAATTGCTGAAAGTTTATTAACCTGAAGATCATTAATCTCTTTAAATCAATAGCCTTTTTCATTTGGTGGGAAACCAGTCAAGGAGAACTTTTGGGGTGGCCTGTAGGCTATTTTCATTGTAACTACTGAATGCCACGTGGTAATTTGATTGCCTCATCTTAGCCTCAAATAGTCTTTAATAAACTCTTGAGCGGGCTGGTTATTAATAATAGTTTCATCTTGGACTGCTTACTGTTTACAACCTGTTTTACAATCTTATGTTGTTATGAGGAAAATAGGAAGAAGAAGATGGGTTGGATATATTAACTGCCTTTAATTATTTGTAAAAATAATGAAGGCGAGATGCAAAGAATTAAAAATTAAATATTTTGCTTATTTTCCCCCAAAACCTGCTGTCACTTTTTTTGAGGGGGAAGCGGTGATTATTTTTCTAGCAGGTGAGAGTATATGCCCAGAGGGAATTGTTTAATAGGTATACAACTTTTCAAATTAAAATTAAAATAAATTTGGTCTAGTGGTTAAGGTACCAGGCTAGAAAGCCAGGGCCAGTCAGTCTCTCTGTCTCTCTTCTCTCTGTCTGTCTGTCTGTCTCTGTCTGTCTCTCCCTCCTTCCCTCCCCCCTCTCTTTCTCTCTCTCTCTGCCAACCTCCTCACAGGATTGTTGTGAAGAAAATAGAAGGAAAGTGTATGTTTGCTGCCTTCTATTATTTATTATTTATAGAAATAATAAAGGCGGGATAAAAAAATATTTTTAAAAAGGTGAATCAGGTCTGTTTTCATAGCCAGGCATGTAGTTTATTTTTCCCTGCCTAAAGAGTTTTTAATTGTCTAGCAACACACACACACAAAAAGGATAGGACACTAAGACCTGAAACACTGTACTTTGGAACTTTTAATGACACACAATAAGCTCTGGAGATTTCCTGTTCCCAAGCTTATGGAGGGTGGCCACAGGGATTAAATGTATATCCTCAGAAAGCTGAATTTTCTGAGTCTTGGATTTTCCACCCAATATTCTTGTGTGTAAAACTGGAATGCAGGAGGTTTTGTGGCCAAACATATACACATGTCTCTTGCCTTTACTTCAGGAGCTTATGCTAATGCAACTTGTACTCCTTCCTCAACTTTTCCCCACCACAACCTTGTAAGGTAGGATGAAAGTTAGGAACTGACCGAAAGCCCCTCAGGACGCTTGTGGGTCTGAAGATAGAGCATAAATCTCTTTGCTCTTAGTCCAGTATCCTTAACACTAAACCACGCTGGCACTCAAATCACACCATGTTATTTGTCAAATGAATAGGGATTAACAAGGCAAATCTTTCAAAACTGCTGTTTTGTGACCCATCCATTACCACAAACTTAATTCCCAAAGGAAGGGGCTGCATCGTTGCCCCAGGTAAGAACGCTACAACCATTAGGGGTGCTGGCCATTCTGAGAAAGGGGACGCAACTCACATGACGATGAGGGCTGCATTGCGGGAGTGATCTTGTAGAACCTCGTGAAGGCGCAAGTGCTGTTCAGACTAGACGGATGACATCGTGGAGGAGGGGGGGAAAAAATAAGTTTTTAGTGGGGACTTCTTTTTCTTCCCTTTCCCAACCCTTTTAATCCCTTTCATTCAAACATTCTCTTCTCTTGTTTCTTTCGTGGCACGACAAAACTGCGGTCCACTAAAGCGCGCCCGATTAAATCGCGTCGCTGACGTCATCAGCAGCGCGACAACAGCGACCGCGGAGAAAAAAGGGCGCTTTAAAAAGCGCTTTAAAAGCAAGCCGATTCAAGTTAAGGTAAGGGTTAGGGTTAGGATTAGGGTTAGGGTTAGGGTTAGGGTTAGGGTTAGGGTTAGGTTAAGGGTTAGGGTTAGGTTAAGGGTTAGGGTTAGGTTAAGGGTTAG